GCAGTTGGAGGCGATTGGGCTGGCAGGGGAGCAGTTAGGCGTAAATTAGTCCAGCAGGGGAGCGGTTAGGGGGCGATCAGGCTGGCAGGCAGAAACGGTCAGGGGCAATCAGGCAGGCAGAGAGGCGAGTGGTTAGGAGCCAGCAGTCCCGGATTGTGAGAGGGTGCAGGCTGGGCTGAGGACACCCCCCGCCCCCCCGCACAAATTTCATGCACCGAGCCTCTAGTAAATAAATAATAAGGCAGAGAAAAAAGGTAAATACATCACATTGTTTATAGTAGTTACTGCTGGCAGAGTGTGATTTTTTTTAAATATATTTTATTGATTTTTTTACAGAGAGGAAGGGAGAGAGAGAGAGTTAGAAACATCGATGAGAGAGAAACATCGATCAGCTGCCTCCTGCACATCTCCTACTGGGGATGTGCCCGCAACCCAGGTACATGCCCTTGACCGGAATCGAACCTGGGACCTTTCAGTCCGCAGGCCAACGCTCTATCCACTGAGCCAAACCGGTTTTGGCGTGATTTTTTTTTTTTTATTCTTCTAATTTTCTGTGTGCCAATTTTCCCAGGAGAACTATGCACATTTGTAATAGAACAACTGAACTATATTTTAATAAGTAGAAGGAAACAGATAAAATTCTGTTATAAAGAATGAAAATCGAACCTTTTTTTTTTTACATCTTTCAGAAATATAACTTAAAAGAAGTTTTCTAATCTATGGTATTTCATTGGTTGCAAAAGAAGACTTTTCAAAGAAGTGTGGTATCATAATTATTCTTAGGACATGGATCTTAACATTTAAAGTAAAGTTTTATAAGAATTGGAGAAAAACCGCTGTGTATGGGTATTATATGTGTTGTGGTGCGCACATGTGTGTGTGTGTGTGTGTGTGTGTGTTGCCCAGCACACACAAATATTAAAAATCTGGCTACTACTATTGACCAATCTGCAGAATTTTAAACAGACATTTATTGACCACTACTATATATGTTTTATTTTAAATGCTTAAATAAATCTTTGTTTAATATCATAAAAGTGGAAAGGGAGGTAAGAAACTGACAATTCAGAGTAATAATTCATGTTGGTTGTTTATCTCTAAGCCATTAGAAATGGAATACATTAAATTACTTTCCCATTATCATAAAAACACTTCCTACCTGCCAGTAACAAACTGCAGGAGAAGAACTCTCTCCTCTGGAGTAATATCTTCCACAACTTCCCAGAACCACTGACAAAATGAGAACAAAAAAACGTAGCTCACATTTCAGACCAATCGTAGACTTAATACCAAGAAGTATGCAGCATTCATAAAGCACATTTGATTCTAAGAAACTCATTTATCAAAAATTATTTCATACCAAGCTTTCATATGCAATTCCCATAAGAAGAATTTAGGGGAAAACTTTACTTCGTTAATTAATGTAGGTTTTCATCCAATAGTGCTGAAAAGCTTACAAAATTAAATGGTAAAACTTAACTTCATTCTAAGCTCTAGAGAAATTTTACCTGAATAACTGGATCTTGTCTTTCATAGCCACTTGTGTATTCTGTATTTTTTATCCAATCACTCACATCAATTTCTGGCATGCCAGAAAGCAGTAGCTCCTTTGGGGAAGAAGAAAAATATTTCATTATTCTTCTTTGGGGGAAAAAACACACAAACCTATTACATTTAAAGAGTAAATTTGCCTTAATTAGAAACTAATTCCATGTAAAAGCGATTTATTTTTGTGACAGTGTCTGCATGTCATCAATAACAAGTACTACATGGGAGAGAACCCTTGATACCGATGATCTCAAATACTGTGAGCTGTGCAGATGTCTCTACATTGATATAATTTAATTAAAACATAAGGAGACAATACTTTATGTTTATAGATAAACACTTATGCAGCAACAGCTTATATGTGCAATACTTTTATGAACATTATCTTTATGGTTATTTTTATTTTATGAATTTGTTAAATTATATAAAGAACCATTTTCTCAATATGAAAGTAACAACAACAAACACCTGAATAAATCCTGGATTAAGCAAAGGAAAACATCATCAAAAAATCCTAATCATTAGGAAAAGGAAAGTAATAAAATAAAAATGTATTTTAAAAAAAAGATTCAGGCCTTTGCAGAACTATTCTGGAATAATTCAGATCTTTAATGTCAACTTTACCCAAGGTGAGAAAAAAAATGCAATTTCCTAATGACTTTGGTAGCCTCCTTTTTCCCAGATCGTCAAATAAACAAAATAGCAATCAAGTAACTAAAAAATGAAATAAAGAATGGCAAAAGTATTTACCATTATGTTTTCCAAGAGAAAAGAAAACATGAAAAAGAGCTTGTCCACACCTCTGAATCACAGTTGGGCTTATTTACAGAGACAGGTGAGGCAATAACCAGCCTACACTTAACTAAACCACGGACAAGCTGAAATAGCAGGATGTGTTATTACAGAGACATCAATGCAATGTGGTTCAAAATCACGTTTCCTACAGCAACTACTCGTAATATATACCAGACTAGTACAGAGTGTACTTTGAAGGTTAATGAAAGTTAGTATAAGGTGGTGTCTGAGAACTCTTGGATGTTTCTGAGATCTATTCAAGGAGTCTGCAAGGTTCTCTCTTTTCCAACTTATCTAAGGCTGGATTTTCTCCATACAGTTCAACCAAACAACATATCACAGCAGATAATGTGCAGATGCAGATTCATGAGTACCCACTGTCTTCTATTAAGCCAGACATTAAACTTGCAAAAATATAAAATAATGCCACTCTTCCCATTATTTTTGTTTCATTCTGGAAAATAGTTTTCAATTTTAAAATTTTTTGTTAATAGGCAATAAATTATTTTTATATGAATTAATAAATTATTTTACACTTCTGTTTTAACTTCAAATACAATAAACATCAATTAATATAACTCAAACAAAAAGGCTTTTGTCATAAGGAGATCCTAAGACCTTTTGTTTGAGAACTGCTAGTTACGTTCTCCTTGTGATGGCATTATAAAATAATTTGACTAGCCCTAGCCAGTTCGGCTCAGTGATAGAGCATCAGCCTGCAGACCAAAGGGTCCCGGGTTTGATTCCGGTCAAAGGCACATGCCCAGGTTTGTGGGCTCGGTCCCCATTGGGGGCCTGTAGGAGGCAGCCAATGCATGATTCTCTCTCATCATGGATGTTTCTATCTCTCTCTCCCTCTCCCTTCCTCTCTGAAATCAATAAAAATATTAAAAAATATATACTTTGACTAAATAAAGGTGTTCTGTTAGTATCCATTTATGAGCCACAAATAGTCTCCACTTTTCTTTGCACTGTTCTGTGCCCTAGGAGGCTGATCCTGACACACTAGCTCTCTTGTCTGCTGGCTTCAGGTTGGGTTCCGCCACAGAACAGGCAGAGGCCTGGAGGTGAGAGCACTTTCCGCTCCCTCCCTGCTTTAGCACCTCTTTCCAGTAGCCATGTCTCCTCATCACAGGGCTTCTTACAATAACTCCCCCACCTGTCTCTTCAATTCCAGAGGTGATAAAGACTTTCCACTGCTGCTAGTCTCTGGATGTCTCACCAAATCTTATTTATTCTTAACACTGCCTGCACCTCTATAATAGTCCCTTTGTTAACGCTCCTTTATTTAAACCATCTGGGGAAATTGGGTTTTGTGGCAGGACCTTGAAACAGACCTGTCAAAGGGAGGGAGAATGAATTTTACGCATGTCTTAAATATGAGCTTAATCTTCTTTCCTTCTAAGCTAAAGTAAGCTTTTAATAATATTAAGTATGCTTTCATTGCCAATAATTATGAATAAAAATGACTGAGGCTTTATTATCTTAAGATTTTGAGCTATTTCATGAAAATCATGTTATAACTTTTTATGAAGAGAATGAAAGATCTTTATTATTCTATTTAACACTGTACTTCCCAAATAATCTTACCATCTAAATCAGTTCAACTTAGTCTTAAGGCCAGAGTCTAAAACACACCAGGAATCCTAACCTAACTTCTAATATAAGCACAATTGAAAATTTATCAGTAGCAGACCTAAATGTGAAAGACAAAGGAATAAAGTTTTTAGAAGAAATTATAGGAAAATACCTTCATGATCTTGGAATAAGAAACAATTTCTTGAAAGGATACAAGAAGCTCCATTCATTTAAAAAAAATAAAAAAGATAAACTGAACTGTGCTAAAACTAAAAACTTTATTAACTAAGACGCCAAAGTGGAATATATATATCTAACAAAGACTCCTATAAAGAATATATAAAGAATCCTAGGGATCAGTAACAAAGAAAATAGAAAACACAATAGAAAAAATGGACAAATTACTTTAACACTTCAAAACCAGAGTACACAAACAGCTAATAAACATATCAAACACACTCAACTTCATTGATCATTAGGGAAATGCAAATTAAAATCATGATGAAATACCACTACCAATCCACCAAAATGGTAAAAATGCAAAATCAAGTTATCAAATGCCTGTGAAGAATGGGAACACCCAGAACTTCCAGACCTGGTGGTGAGGGTGTACTTGACACACCACTTTGGAAAACTATTTGCTAGTATCTATTGTAATGTAATAAATACCCACCATATATGGCAGCAATTCTACTCCAAGGTATATAACACAGAGATTGCATGCATATTTCTCCTAAAGACATGTACTAGAATGTATGTAGCAGCACTATTTCAAATAGTCTAAAACTAAAAAGTACTTACCAAATGTTTAAGAGGAGAAAAGATAAAACAGTATCCTGACACAATGAAATACCTACCATAAAGCAATGAAAATGAACAATTTACACTGCAGGCAACGGCAGTATAACTCTCACAAACAAAAAGCCCAGCCAAAGAAGTCAGATATATTCTAGGTGATTATTTCATTTATATTAAATTAAAAAACGGGCAACCTGACCTATGATATTATAAGTTAGGAGAGTGGTTGCCCATGACTGGGGATAGTTAGTGAAAGGGGACATGAAAGGGGCATCTGGGGCACTAGGATCTGTCAATTTCTTAATCTGGGTGCTGTTTTCATGGGTGTAGTCAGCTTATGAAAATGTATCAAACTATACATTTATAATGCATGTACTTTTCTCTATGTATACTGTAATTCAATAAGTTTCACAGAATTTATAAGTATCAGTAAATTATGAGGCAAAGTTTTTGTCAATGGTTTATGTTGTTGCTATTGGTTTTTAACACCATAGGTCCAAGAAATAATGTAATTCTCTGTTTAACAGTTCATAAGTACTCCTCCATTTTTAAATGCTAAAAATAACTTTTATGGTTATGCTAAAACTAGACAAGTCTATGCTAAACAAAACCATTAATCCTAAACCTAAAAACAGAACAAAAAAAACTCAAAACTGGGTTTTTTGTGTTTTTTCTTTTTTCTTTGATTTGAGAAATCGATTTGTGGGGATCCAACCTTGGCGTTATCAGGACAATGCTCTAACAACTGAGCGACCTGGCCTGGGCCTCAAAACTGATATTTAATGAAACTAAATCACAAGGGACTTCAAAATTAATTAGCAAATTCTGTCCACTACTTTACTAAAATACACCATGAGTGAAAAAAAATTGAGAATACTGGTATATGTGTAAAATTAAAGGTATACACCATTGCACTTATTCATGTATTAAAATGAAGGGCATAGGGTAAAACTAATTTTATGAAACAGAATAAAACCAAAGGATACTTTGTGGGAAACTGATATAGGGTTAAGCCTTGGACTGACCTGTTGGCAAAGTCACAAACAAGTCCCAGCTTAGACACAGTCCTCTTAGCATAATTAGGCTTGACCTTATAACACTCCCTAGATCTTATCTGGGAAGCTAATGGGCTGAGGAAGTGCAGGAAGTGTAACCATGGTCAAAACAAGTGAAACTCACAAGAACTGTGTAACTATGGTAACCACTACTTTGTTTACCTCTTACTATAAAAAGCTTGGTGAGGCCTGAGCACAGTGGAAGTCCTTCTCCTTGAGTTGGACTTGCCCGCCTGGTCCCCCAATATTTCCAAATTAACTCGTGTCTTTTCTCTTTCATTTGTGTGCGGCTCCTCTTCCAGACCCGAACCCTGAACCACACAGGACGTGGAGGGAAACACTTACGACAATACTTTCCATTGACCTAAAATTTAATTTTCCAAATTATACTTTTTAAAAATGATACTCTATTTACAATACTGTGTTTTATTAAGGAATTAGAAACTTAGAGAGTTTGGAAACAATTTAGTACCAAAAATAAAAGAGAAAAAGGAAATAAGGGAAAATGCAGACATAAATCATATAATAGCAGAAATCCCATTGGATCACAGTAAAAGGCAGACAAATTAAATATAATAAAACATTCATTAGAGAATGGGGGCTAGCAAAGAGAGTGGCCTTCACAGAGTTTTGAAATGGAAAATTATAAAATTATATATATGATGAAATAAGAAGCTGAAAAGAAAACCCAAATATAACAAGAAAAAACTTAATCAAAAGTCTTCTCTTTGGAAGTATGAGAAGTTTATATTGGTATTCTTTTTTACCACAGATGGCCAAATAAAAAAATTCAGAAATATGGAATTTTGCTTTTGGGATGACTGACCCTCACCTTCTTCCATGTACAGTACTTTGGAAACAATATTCCATTTTTATCACCACTGCATTCCATTTCACATTAAGGAATTGCTAATATGGTTATTAAGCTTAAGAGAAGCACAATCACAAATGTAACAAATCTCTAAACATGAATATTAAACCATATGTCTTATACATTATTCCATGCACCTCAGTACTCCAAAATTATTTTGAGTTACATCGACTGGAGTTTTGTATTGTTGTGTTGCGATAAAGGAGCTGATGTTTTTCCTTACCAACTCAAATTCATCAAACAGCTGTATGAGGGAAGGTGGAATGAACATATGAAAGCCTTGGAGAAAAGCATTGATCTGAGGTTGGATGGCTCTTGTCATTCGAAGTTCTGTAACAAGCTGGACATACTCCTCCTATTAAAAAAAATAGTTTTCATGATGACTGTTTTTTTAATTCCACACACTTAAGATAATTTTGATATAATCACTTCTCATTTAAGAGGAAAAGATTTAGAATTAAGTTGGCACCAATATTCATACACCTCAGTAAACCAGCACCCTACCATTCACTAAACTGTTTTCTCACACCCTGTCTGTAAAAAGCAGTGCTATCAAGATCAGTGGTCCCACTTCTGGGAGTATATCCTAAGAATCCCTGAACACCAAGCAAAAAGAATATATGCACCCCTATGTTCATGGCAGCATTATTTACAATAGCTAAAATCTAGAAATAGCCCAAGTACCCATCAGTAGGTAAGTGGATAAAAAAGCTGTGGCACATTTACACAATGGAATACAATGTGGCCTTGTGAGAATCTATACTAATAATAGACAAATATGTAAATTGACCATCCCTCCACAACACCCACAGCCAATCAGGAGTATGCAAATTAACCTGACAAAGATGGCGGGTCAGGGCCCCCACCCACACCGAGCCTATGGCCAGCGCGCATGCATGCCGGCGCCGAGTGGCTGGGGTCCCGGGGACACCACTGGAGTGTCCAGTCCTGTCAGCCCAGCCTGGGGGCGGCTGGAGTTCCCAGTCCTTTTGGTTTCTGCAGCCCCTGGACCGGAAGCAGAAACCAAGAGTGCAGGGCGCACCAGGAATTCTGGGAATCGTAGTTCTGATGGCAGCCCCTGGACAGGAAGCGGAAGCCCAGAGCGTGGGGAGCACCAGGAATGCTGGGAATCGTAGTTCTGGTGGCAGAGGCGTTGCGGGATCTCCTAGACACTAGAGCAGCGGTTCTCAACCTGTGGGTTGCAACTCCTTTGGGGGTCAAACGACCCTTTCACAGGGGGTGCCTAAGCCCATCCTGCATATCAGATATTTATAATTCATAACAGTAGCAACATTACAGTTATGAAGTAGCAACAAAAATAATTTTATGGTTGGGTCACAACATGAGGAACTGTATTTAAAGGGCCAGAAGGTTGAGAACCACTGCACTAGAGCAAAGTGAGCCTGGAGCAAGTTACTGTTGCGGTGGGGGATGGAAGGAAAGCAAAGGTGAGAGACATAAATAAAGTCAGAGTGTCAAGGAAAAATTAAAAGGAAGATATCCTGCAACTTCTAGGAAATCTCCACCAATGGAGCAAAGAAGAAAAAAAGACCTTTATTATTCTGTGAGTACCAAACCAAACTGGGTTGGGGTCTCAGACAATTCGCTCATATGATTACAAGGCCAGACAGAAACTCCCGGATTGGAGAGGGCTCCCCTGAGGGCTCCCAGATTGGAGAGGGTGCAAGTCGGGCTGAGGGAACGACCCTCCCCCCCCGCCGCCCACCCCGTGCACGAATTTTGTGCACCGGGCCCCTAGAATATTGTATATAATCCTCACTTCCCAGTAACAAATACTCTAAACACAAAGGGGAGAAAACCTATTTTGGGACCAACCTTTTATTATTTATTTATTTTGGAGGGGCACTAACATGATGCTCTGCTCCCCAGCCCCCAAAAAAATCACAGGCATTGAGTCAGCAAGTTACTAGTATATACTGGCTATGAATTCTCTGTGTATCTCAGAGCTACAGAAGTGTCAGTGAATTCCTCACAGCTCTCTCCAAACCCCACCTGGCTTCTACTTTCTGGCACAGGGAAAGGTGCCAAAGCTGCCATTTAATCCATTCTTACCCCCAATCCCACTCCCTACCTCCCAAAGGCTTTTTCCACTATATAGGAATTAATCGGTTACTACAAGTTACATACAGACAGTTACTAGAGGAAGACAGAAACATGTATCAAACAATCAAATAGAAACACAGAACTAAATTTCAGGGTCCAATCAAGAAATAATATATAACACACTTCTAAGTGATAACCAGCAGTGAATTCAGCATCAGCACATGATTATCTCAATATTTATGAATGCTCTAAAACTGCTTATTGGGCACTACAATTTTTCTACTCCACCCATTCATTAATTATATGTTTAAGATGCTATATGAGATCGCATCTTCCCTTAACAAGAATAGCTTTTATTCAAGAGGTTTTGTTTTTACAATCTTAAAGTACTACTCAATAGTTACTGCTCAAGACCTTACTAAATTATGAAGCTTGAAAGTAAAAGATTTGTGAATTGCTCAAGTACACTTAACTTATTTTCATTTGCCATTTTAGTCCATATTTATCAGAATAGTACACATCTCTTATTTATAAATTAATTCTTATTATTTCCCCATACATTTTATTTTTAGAAATTAGTTTTCAGAAGTATAGTAATCTTTGCTCACATGTTACCTTCCATTTCACCCAATACATTTATTTCTATAACTCTGGTTCATAGTTATTAAATATCAATATGTGAACATCAGCTCCTTCAGATACCAGTCTCCATATTAAGGTATTTTAAATGTGAAAACAAACAAACAAATAAAAAAATCCTGGCCAGGTGGATTAGTTGGCTGGAGCATCCATCCAGTCAGGCACATATTGAAGGCAACTGATCAATGTTTCTCTCTCTCACTTCCTTTCTCTCTAAATAAATAAATAAATAAATAAAAACATGTCCTTGGGTGAGGATTAAAAAATAAATTAAAAATGTGAACTTGGTCTGAAAAATGGATCTTGATCTAAATTATTTCTCCATAAAATAATGAAATCCTAGCCATCACAAATCCTCCTGGGTATAGTAAAATAAGTTTTCCAGGTAGTTGAAAGATAATTGTGTTTAACAGTTAAAATCTACAGAAAACAGAAAATAATCTAAATCCAACTGCTTCTAAAATAGTTGTTCTGCCTCCTTAAACAGCACATCTTCAAATAGAGTAACACCATTAACATGTTCTTGATGACACAATTATTACAATGAACATCCACTATTATTATGCACTAACATTTTGACTGCTCATACTGTGCTACAGAAACACACTGGCTGCATTCCCACTACATATGAAGGCAGCCAAGTGATGCACCTCCACACTTTATCCCCTCATAACTACATCAAATATCCATATGCCTTAAAGAAACAGTGGACACACAGATGATAATCAGTCTACAAAATACTGGCAAAAGGAGTTGCATGATTAGCCCGGCCGGCATGGCTCAGTGACTGAGCGTCAACCTATGAACCAGGAGGTCACGGTTCGATTCCCGATCAGGGCACATGCCCTGGTTGCGAGCTCGATCCCCAGAAGGGGGTGTGCAAAAGAGGCAGCCGATCAATGATTCTCTCTCATCATTGATGTTTCTATTTCTCTCTCTCTCTCTCTCCCTTCCTCTCTGAAATCAATAAAAATATTTTTAAAAAGAAAAAAAGAGTTGCATGATCAAACATTAAATATATACCAAACCTGATATCTCATTTTTTCTAAGGTATTAAAAGAGATGATATAACTTGGAGGGGCGGGTAAACTTTTATCCCCAACAGATGGCATATTTGCTCTCATGTGAGTTTTTTGCTAATTCTTCGAGGGCATAAAGTAATGCCAGATGCCATAGATATAACTCGAAAAATTAACTATATACAAGAATCTGAGTTAGTGCTGTACTAAAATAGTTATGTTAACATATAGAAAGTTTTCAACTTAGAAAGCCTCAGCATGGAGATAAGAACAATAAAAAGCCCTAACAACTTTTTTCTAGCTTAACCTCTGAGCCTAATAACGGATACAACATAGCTAAGAAAAAAGTAACTGCAAAGGGAAAAATACCACTAAGATTAAGGAGATGCAACATCTGACCTTAAGTTCCAGTTAAGTTATAGGTCTAGTTACAGAAACATTTTGTTTTAATAATCTCCTAGTCTTCTGAATGTGTGGAATGAATAATATCACCTTTCAGAAATGTTTTTTAAAATCTAACTTCTTTTCAGGCTTTGGACCTAAATCATGTCTTCTTATTAGGGGCGATAGTGATGTTGAAACTTAAAATATTTTTTAAGCTATTTTTCTTCTTGAAAATCTTTTCTACTATTCCTAGGAAAATATTTAAATAAACCATATTTATATAAATAAAAATTAATTTTAATAGTGAAACCAAGATGTTCCTTCTAAGTAGACCGATAAACTTGGTCATATTTGTAAAACTGTCTGGAATAATAATTTTTTTTTGCAATTAACAGTTTCAATGCCATTATTATTCTCATAATTCAAATAACTGTTTGAATATAAATCCCTTGGTAATAAAAGCTTCCTTCCTGGGCTTCTCCAATTGATTAGTATTGCTCTGGTACGTAAGAGTTCTCACTGAAAACTTCTCCACCAAGAACTCAAAAGAATACCAGGTAAGAATAAGTAGGTAAAAGAAAAAGAGAGGCACTGTAATATTTTCAATCATTTTTTCTTTACCAGTATATTCTTATTTTTAAGGTCACATATTAGTTAGATATGTGACCAAGGTCACAAAGATTGATAGTCTGGTAAAAATCCTATTACTTCAGTTTACCTGAAAAAAGTTTAGTCATTGAAAATAGTGATTCCTCAGGTTACCGTTTCATAGAGTTGGTAAAATTTTAGAATATACTAACTAAAAAGCAAAGGAACATATGTTCTTCTTGTAAACAGGAAAATACTAAAGATAATTTAAAATCCAATCAAATAATACACACAAATATTCAATATGGAGAACTTCAGACTCAAACTATTTTAAAAGTTTTGAATAGTAAAATGATTTCTCATAGTATACTTTTCTGAAGATGAAAATAAGGAATCCACTTTAAGTCAATAATCTATATGCACACACCTGTATTTTATGTGTGCATCAAATGTGTCTGTGTGTGAAATAAATCAAGTGAAACTGGCAATAAAATACAAGGTATTAACCATATGAAAATAAGTGGAGGAAAACATACTAAATTTGTATTTGCAACTTTGTTCATATTCACTAACTTAGTAAGGGAGAGGCTAGCAGTTATACAATCATATAGAACTTGATTTAAATTGAGGGCTCACCACTTACTAATTTTGAGCCCTTAGA